AATTATGACGTATCAATGTCATTTGAAGACTTGCCCAGCAAATGAGGAAAGCCCATTCTTGGGGCCCTAGGGACAGGCCTAGAGTGCTCTGCACCCCCCCCACCCCCGCCCTTCCTCCCTGAGACTGTTCCCAGCTCCACTTCTGGCCTCCAGGAAATGAACAACTTTCCTCCATCTCAAGATTTCACCGTGTCGCTTCTGCTTTAGAACCACAACCCATGAACTGGATCCCCTGAACCATGAGTCGAATAAAATCTCTTCTTCAAATTGTGGGCGTCACATTGTGTGTCCCAGCGACAGGAGAGCTGATGCAAGTCGCGGTTTCCCGGATATGGTCAGTCCTTGCACCCACTGCTGTTGCCCTCTCTGCCCTTTGCACCCACTGACCTTCAAGACATTCCTCCGCAATTCACACAGACCTCTACAGCGCGGCTCTCTTTCTCTAAAAACTGAGCTGCCACCACTTCCCATTTCCCGCCTAAATGAATACACAGTTGTCATGCCTACCTGTCCCCTTTCAGCTCAATGGAAGCTCTAGCTAAGGAATAAAAGCAATAAAAGGAAAGGTATTCAATGATGACACAAAGCCCACATTCAAGTATCACCCAATCCTTAGCCGGTTGCAGAAATTCTGATTCACCACCCTCCAGCCCCAATTCACTCTCTGCTTCTCCACAGCCTGTCCTGTTACCTAACTATAACACACTCCCACTTAGCAAAGGAAGGTGGGTACAACAGAAGAGCGGGAATCCCCAAGTCTGTCCGCAAGGGGGAGTGTGGGAGGCGCACTGCGGGGAGGCTGCTCCCTGGACAAACCCGTCTGGATGTGATTTATCCGAGATGAGCTTTAGCCTCCATCCTGTGAGGCCTTGGGTTGTGCAGAGGAAGATGGGAAGGAAGGGTGTCCCAAACATGGCTCAAAACCTAGGGCACAAACAAAGTCAGGCCCTGACGCCCCACTCTAATGTTGACAGAATGCTGGCAGGGCCTGACTGGAAGAATCTATTGGTGTGGAGGACTAGGAGCTTCTTTTGACATGAGATATGGCCAGGGGGTATGTGGTAGGCAGAATACCCCCTCCCCCCAAAAAAGATGTCCTCATTCTAAATCTGGGGGCCTTGGAGTAAATAAATTGAAAAAAAAAGAAATAAAATAAATTGGAGGGCCAGCCAAACGGGGTTCAGTCCCCAGGTGTGCCATGCTGGCCCCATCCCCAGGGCACACTGAGAGAGCAATTGAGGCTGGGCATGGTGGCGTGCACCTGTAATCCCAGCTCTTGGCAGGCTGTAAACAGGTGGATCACTACATAGTCTGATCTAGTCGTGAGACCCTGAACACCCTGTAGACCCTCCCCTAAAATACAAAAGAAATTTGGACAGGGCCATGCCACTATCTTCTCCCAGCATGGCACACACAAGCCCAGAAGATGCTGGCATATTGGGACCAAAGCCATCGCCTAGCTTCTGGGTAGAGCCTCACCTGGACTGCTCACCTGAGTCCCTTGCCATTCAGGTCAATTCGAGTTGGGTGTTCTCTTATCTCTAATCCAGTATCCTACCACACAAAATGGGTCCTGATGGCAGGAGGCTCTTGGGAGCCATGCAGCCTGGGTGACAAGAGAAGACAGCTGTGGGAGGAGGCAGAGCGCAGGCCTGGGGAGCGCAGGCCAGGAAGGGAGATGTGCACAGGTCTGGAGGAAGAAGGCGGGCTGCAGCGCAGGCCACAGACAGCTGCAGCCAACACCCAGGGTGTCCTGGGGCTGGAACAGCCCTTCAGCATGGTTCCAAGTGGACCAAGATGTCAGGGCCTTTGCACATCACATGCCTGTAGAATGTAAGGGGCCTGACCTCAGCCCAGTAGCTCTGTATCAGGCCACCCCTTCAGGAGACCCAACAGCGACCTCACAATCTCACCAGAGGGGCACCTGGGCAGAGCAGGTCTGCAGCTGGAGGTGGGGGTGACTTCCCCTGCAGCAGGAGGAAGCCATGGAGATCTGGGAGAGGTGACCACCTGGTACCTCTTCTAGGCAGGTCAGGCCCCAGATGCAGTTGGCACAGCCCATTCCTACCATATTTCCTGCAGGTCTAGCTGGGGACCCCATGCACCAGCACAAACCAAATGCAAATCCAGCTTTATTTATAAAGGCATGACAGATTTAACCAAAGACCTCCCTGGCCCAAGGAGTGGCACCAAATGGGCAAGAAGGAAGAGAAACAAGAAAAAAGCTGTAGAGAGGAAGGTGGGCAACTGCAGACCAGGGTCTGGGTGGAGACACAGTCGCGGAAGTAAACCGAGGAAGGCTCTGGGTGCTGGGAGACAGCAGGCAGATGAGGAGTCATGGCACTGACATCTAGAAGGGGAGCAGCTCGTCCACAGGGATGTTGAGGATGACGTCCATGTCTGGGGTGCACCTAGTAGGAGGCAGCAGAGGTGTGTAAAGGGCCAAGAGGGGTGTCATTGCTAAGGGGTGGGTGCATCCCCAGGGGAGTCGTGCCTTTTACAACACTGATGTTTACTAGAAGGCCCATCCCCAAACCTGTGACCAACTATGCATACATACACAGGCGGGTGCACACATGCACACGCACACACACATGCACAGACAATAGCATCAGAACTGGAAGAGAAATGAACTTGGCGGGAGTGATGTTCCCCTAAGAGGACTGAGGCTCCTCAGGACAATGGCCCCTCACTCTCTCACGAGTCGGCACAACTCAGGATGTGCTGAGCAAGCCACTTCTCTTCCAACCCTCCTGCTCCCGGTGAGCACCTGTGTCACAGTGCCAGCAGGTCAGCCTCAGTTCCCTCTTTTGTCCAGTGAGGGTGCTAAGCCCAAGCTCAGCCGCTGGTGGGACGGGCCCAGGAGCCACATCAAGTGCCAGCCTGTGATCAATACCCAGGAGATGCTAATGTCTTCCCAGGAAGGGAGACACACGCCATCAGCAACACAGTCCCCACACTCAGTGACCAGCATGACAGGCAAGAAGCTGCAGGACTGCGTTCTCCCTCCATTGTCTGTTTTTGTTCACTGTTTTTGAGATAGGATCTCACTATGTAGGCCAGGCTGGACTTGAAATCACAGCGATCTTCTGCCTCTCAGTGCTGGGACTATGAGTGTGCACCACCACGCCTGACTTGGAAAGTTTTTGTAATAGTTTTTAAAAGCTTCGTCCTTACTGGCAACTCTCAGATGTTCATCTCCTGTCGATCTCTGTCCTTTAAGGTCCACGCTGATCAATCTGATGGCTAAGCATGATGTCCCTCGTAAACCGCCATCATCATCCAAGGCAGTCTTAGCTGGGCCTCCACACACCTCCCTCACCAGCCGTCTTTCCTACTCTGGATTTGGCACCAGACCACCTCTGATCCTCCCCCCACACACAGCTAAGCATCTCCAAGCCCTACAGATTCCCCCCTTTACTATTTCTCCAGACCAGCTAGTCCTCCCATCTCTTCTGCCACACACTTGACCAGGCTCCTCTGGACCCAACTCAACTTCAAGCTCCTGCCCTGGCCTCACTCCAATCTCATCTCCAGAATAATTTATTTCTATACAAATCTGATCATGGCACCACTCAACTTCAAATCCTTTGCTTCTGAGGTGAAGTACAAACGACAGCCTGTGTACTGCCAGAGGCCCCCAGCTGAGCTGCCCGCTCCCTCTGCCCACCCCTCTCCCCAGCACCCCAAGTTCCTTCCTGCTGGTCCCCACATCACTGCTGGGCATGTGGCCCACAGAGCAGCAACAGCACCCAAGAACATGTCGGGGAAGCGGCCCCATGAGCCCCCTGCATACCGCCGCCGGCTTGGAATCTGCTGTTTCATACATTCAGTACAGTCTCTGCATGTTTGCCCTGCAAGCTCTAGCTGAAGCAGCTCTGCCCCGCAGGAGGCCCTTCCCACTTTGGCACAGAAGGCTGTTTCCTGTGCCTGGGATTTCCCTGTGCAAAGCCATAGTGAGCTGCTGCTCCTGACCTCGCTGCCCCTCTACTCACTGCTGCTGCAAAAAGCTCTGCCTGAATGGGGAGTCTGGAGGACAGAGGCCTCCAAAACCCAGTCCCTTGTCTCAGACTCAAGTCCCCACAAGGATCACACTGGGCTCTGCTCTCAGGGTCCAATGTGCAGATCCACCAGGGCTGGGTGGCTCAATCTGCCCCCTTCTGGGTTTGTATCAGGAAGCCAGAATGTCTGTAAACCTAAGCCATTCTCTCAAGTGAGCTTTAGCAGAGTAAGAGCGGTGATCTAGCCCACCCTGGGCTCACCTCTTTCAGTCTTAGCTCAACAAGTACAGAACCCAAGGGAAGGCAGTGGGTGCCAACTTATGATATCCCCAGTGCCCTGGGCACTGCCCCTGGCATCACTCTCCCTTTGCTTCTCTCTAGTCCCTTTGCCTGGGAGCCCTATGCCACATCCTCAGGGAAACCTTCCTGATGGCACCAGGTTCCCTGCCCTGGGACACACTCCCCAGCACCACACACCTCTCCTCAGCGGCTCTTGGCTCAGTCCCAACTTGCTATGTGTGTCTTACTGTCCACTAAGGTCTAGTTCACACCTTGGCTCCAAGGTGGCAGGGACAGGTCTGCTGTCCTTCACATGATCCCTGGCACTTCATCACTGAACAGTTACTTTTGAACAGAGAAGGAACAGGAAGGAAAAGATGGGAGAAGACAGACATAAAGACACAAAAGAAAGTAAGTAGCTTGCAAATACAGGAATCTGTGGTGCCTCGTGCAGAGGCCTGGCCTGGTCACTCCCAGTCCAACCACACAGGGTCTAATCCAAGAAAGAGCAGGCAAAGAACTGGCTGAGATTTTGTGTGGTTTGGTTTTAGTTTTGCTGGGGAGAAGGGAGGCTGAGTGAACGCAATCCAAGTCAGTCTTGAACTCGCTTTGTAGCCCTGCCTACCCTCAAAGAGCCTCCTGCATGCTGAGATTACAGTCATGCCGCACCCCTGGCTGAGGACTGATTCAGAAGGAAAGAAGTTCTTTCCTTGGGGCACAGAATCCTGTGCCTTCTAGGCCATGACTCTTCCTTGAAACCAATCATCCCACTTAATTCTGCTTTCTCAACAACCCACCCAACTGACACAGGGAATCTGAGAGCTAGAGGCTCCTTAGAGATGACTTTACCCAGCCTGCTGAGTCCTGCCAGGAAAATGAGTCCAGGGATGGGAAGGTCGCATCTGCCTATGGCCACTGGCAGAGCTGAGGTGGACATTCAGGCCTCCTCCACCCTGCACCAGGCTCTGTCACCTGTATCAGGCCACCTTCCCTGCGCAGAGTGCCTCCAAGAGCACAGTGTGAGAGGCAGCCACATAGAGCACGTACTTGGGTCTCCGAAGCAGAACATCCTCAAAAATGACCTCCCGCGGATCCCGGACTTGGGCCTGGAGTGATTCCACCTCAGCCTTTAATGTGAGCACTTTCTCCTTCGATTGGTCGATAAGCTGAGGGGAAAGAGACCCATGGGAGAAGTGAGATGCCAGTGGCACCTGCTGGCTAGAGAAGGGGCCTCTCAGCGCAGGATGTGCGGGCTCCCGGGTTACTGCCACATTCTGAAGTGCTGAGAAAGGCCATGGGGAACAGAACTACTTTGCCTGCCACGAAGATGAATGGCAGCTGGCTGGGGAAGGTGCTTGCTGAGACCTGTGAAGGTGTGAGACCCATGTGAGGGGCTGGGGACAGTGAAGCTTGTTAGCACTAGAGGGTCTGCAGCATGACGCACAATGGCTGAGCTGGGTGCCTGAAGATGCTGCTAACAGCTCACAGCCAGCAGTGGCGGTGACTCAGGCAAGGCCTCAGCAATGGCTCTGGCCAGCCAGTCAGGCATTAGGCGAAGCCCGTCTCCCAGGCCACTGGCAGAGCTGAGGTGGACACACAGGCTATCTCCAACCCTGCACCAGGCTCTGTCACCTACACCAGGCCACCTTCCCTGTGCAGAGTGCCTCCCAGAGCAGTGTGAGAGGCAGCCACACAGAGCACGGACTTGGGTCTCCGAAGCAGAACATCCTCAAAAATGATCTCCCGCGGTTCCTGGACTTGGGCCTGCACTGGGAGCTGCCTAGCCCTACTCCATCAGAGGCACCATGGCCTTCCCGTCCACTCACGTTTCTGCACCTGACCATGCACTGCTGCTGGTACTTGTTGTCCTGGATCACCTGTCGAAGGTTCTTGTCACGAGGGTGCTGGGTTTTCTGTGGAACAAGGAGAGGTCTGTCTCCAGGTTGCCCCTTTCTAGGCAGTAATGTATGGCAGATATGGAGCAGGTAGTCCAGTGGGCAAGAGGCACAGAAGGAAATCCGGCCTGGGCAGCACTGGAGACCTGTAACAGCAACTGATGACTCACCACCACTAGAGACCTCCAGACCTTTCTCCTTTTCTCCTGCTGTGTGTTGGACAGGCTCTTCAGCACCATCCTGCGCATCTCACTGAGATGATCCAGCTCCTCCTGGGGGCCAGCAGAAGGGGTGGGCCACCAGCTCACTGCCTAGGTGCTCCAGGGCAGAGGCAAGCACACCTACCTGCTGGCTGTCCTTCACCTGCTGCAGCTGGCGCATAAGGCCACCAATCTGCACTGACCTTACGGGGTATTCGTGGTCCATGTAGGTGTTCAGGAAGCTCACCAGCTCCTGGGTGTTTCTTATTCTAGTGTTCAGCTGCTCTGCCTGCTGCTCCAGGCCTGGGAAGAGGGAGGGAGAGGAGTCTGGAGGACAGGCACAGGGCCTCCCCTCAGAGGCCATTTCCAGGAGACTGGGCCCTCCTTGGCCAGTGGAGTGGGCTCTGGGCTGAGGAGAGCACATAAAAGGATGGGAGGGAGGGAGAAGTGAGCCCCAGGCAATGCCCTAGGCCTGCAGGAGGCAAGGCAGTGCTGGAAAGGGAAAGAAGTGAAACTGGTGCCACACCTTTAGGCCAGTGAGACCAGGGAGCAAGGGCGACACTGGCTCCCAAGAAATGATTCCTGGCAGGATTGAGACAAAGTTTACCCCGCCTTCCCCCATGGAAGGGATCCCAGCATACCCTCTCCCCTAGAAAGTATCTCATCTGCTCAGGAAGAGGACCTTACAGGCCCTATAGGACCCAGGCCCTGCCACTCACTCCCAGAGGGACCGGGGCAGGGATCAGAGTCAGGTTAGGACTGAATTCTGGCTCCAAGCTATATAAGCTCCACCAGGCTCCTCCACCTCCCTTAGCATCCATCTCTTCTTCTGTAAAATGGGAGAAGAGACCCTGCGTCCTCGGGCTATATAACGACTATGTATACACAGACCGAGAACATGCAGACACCTGGAGCCTGGAATGTGCTAAGTCCTCAAAAGCTAAGCTCTAAGCTCTGTGTCTCAATAAGTCCATCTGCCAAGGAGGGAGAAGAAGGCGGATGAGCTCTGAAAGGCAGGTGCAGGTGAGTACCCTGCAGCTGCCCTCCCCAAAGGGTCGTGGGTGAAGGCCAAGAAGTCTGCCCCTGGGGCGTCTTACTGCTCTTCTTGTGTTCCTCCTTCTTTCTCCACTCCTCAAGCTCAGACTTCCACCTCTGTAGCTCGTTGTTTGAGTACTCCAAGATGTCCATCATGTTCTGTGGGACAGTGGTAGGTTCAGCTCACCACAGCCTCTGCGGGGCCTCGGGCTCCCAGTCAGCTGTGGTAACTCACCACTTCCTCAGAGGAGTCCCAAGTTCCAATCCTACTCCCAGGGCCTGCAACCTGGCCAGAGGCTAAGAACAGTAACTCCCTATCCTTGCCCCAATGGCCCTACTTGATCTGGCCCAAGTCAACCCCTCCCTCTCTGACCCCTTCCTTACTGCCCAGCCTCAGACAGCTCCCTATGGATCCTGGGGTCAGCCATGCTGCCTCTCACCCCAGGCCCTTAGCACCTGGCCCCCCTGCCAGTTTAACACCTCCACAGCAATCTCAGCCTAAGTATCACTTCCTCCAAGAAGCCTTCCCGGGGCTCATATAACACCCCCTCTAGGGTAAACAAGTTCCCACTTCCATCACAGGACCCACAAGGCTTTCTAACTAACCGCCTGTGGCCCCCTGGAAAAAGAACTTGATGTGGATGACAGGTCTCACAATTGCTGTTCCCAAACGTTCATGAGGGACATCAAAGACAACAAGGATAAGTAGACTTGACACAGGAAGTTTAGAGAATGTCCTATTGTCTCCAAGGCTCTATGTCCTCGGCCTTCATCCCTGCTAAGATTCCTACATTGAAGTCCCCTCAGTGACTGCATTTGAATTACCATCTTTTTTTTTTTGGCTGAACCAGGGATTGAACTCAGGTCCTTGCACTTGCCAAGCAAGCACTTATTCTACTGAGCTATCTCCCTGACCTCCTAATGGCTGCATTTGAAGGCAGGATGAGGGCCTGCTTTTGAGGGCCTGAGGGGGGCCCTCATCTGACAGGCTGACAGCCTCATGAAAAGAAACCCCAGTGCTCACCCTGTACACGCAGAAGAAAGGCCTGGAAATCACAGCAAGCCAGCCAGAGGCAAGTGGAAAGAGAGGCAGCACCAGAGCCTAACTGACGGCCTGAGATCTTGGATGCTAAATTCCCAAAACTATGAAATCAATTTCCACTACCCAGTCCATGACATCCTGTAAGGCAGCCCGGGCGCTTCCCTACCAAGCTCAACGAGGACTGAGTGGTGGATCCACAAACACCCCCAGGGAGCCTCGATGTCCTCTGCACCCCTCAGACTCAGTGTGCTCCATCCCCCTCCACCCTGGGCAGACTCCAGTCAGAGCAATCCCTTCATTCAGCTGTATCCCAGTCTCTTCTCCAGCCCCAACTCCTGGGCCACCTGGGAACCTCCTGCCCTCCACCAGTGTCTCTGGATTGCAAAGGCGGCAGAGGAGCTCCCTGGCCTCTGCGAAGTCATCCTTCCCCTCCTGTCACCTCAGGCTGCACAGGCTCACAGTGCGAAAGGCACAGATCCTGGCACCACTGCCTGAGTTCAAATGCTACCTCTGATCCTTGTTAGCTGGGTGACTCTAAGGGAGTCACTTATCCTTGATGCCTTTTCATTACTTTGTATGTAGGGTGGGATAGTAACAGAACCCCTCACAGAGCTGTTGTAAAGATGATATGAAGGGACATAAGCACGCCGCTTACACGTCCACTGCAGCAACAATGGCTGGAACAGTAACAGTGATGGCTGGAATAGTGGCAACTACTTCCTCTCATACAGGTACTATGTGTGGTGGCTACAACTTCCCTCTGAGGGGAGCGCTACTGTGTCCCACTTTACAAGACCCACTTGCACCTGCCTCCACACCCAAGTAGGTGACCAGAGTTTGGATGGGGTCACAATAGGAAGAGGGCCAGCAGCTGAGAAGGCTCAGGGCATGGCTCACCACTGTGATGTCCTCCTGCTGCAGCATGGCCCGCACTTGCAGTGCTGTGCTGTCCTCTGTGTCCAGGATGGCCCTGACCAGCTCCTCATTCTGCTCGGAGAGGAAGTGCTCGTGCTTGCAGACGTCCTGGAGCAAGTTCCGCTGGTTCCGGAGCATCATCTGTGGCCAAGGACAAGAAAACAAAGGGGATGCTGCTGTGCTGAGGCCAGAGACCATGGAGCGCCCGGACTTCCCTCTCACCGCCTGCACCCCAGGCAGCCTCCCAGTCAATGTGCCCCACATGGAGCAAGGGTTCCCCACTGTCTGTGCACGGCGTACGTGAAACTCAGGGCCCTCAGGGACCCTTCCATCCACTTGGAAATGCACATTTCCTCACAGTTTCATGTCTCTGAGGTGAGCAGACATGGTTCAATTGGTGGCACATCACCATTTAACTGACAAGTATTAGTAGGAAAATAAAGTTACAACCATGGCTAACGGCTTCTCAGAATTAATGAAATGTTCTACTGCGATGACAGTAATGGTGATGATATAATGATAGTAATAACAAATGCCCCAGATGAGTGAGAAAGTGACAGGGGACGGGCCAGCTCTGGAAGAGAAGCAAGGGAGGCCAAGTGGGTGGTAACAGCCACCATTTCCTATCCCATCATGGAAGATCCTTGTGGAACAATAATCAGACAGGGTAAGTGCCTTGCCCAAGGTTACATCCAACAGGTACAGCAAACAGACAATAATAGTAACAGTAATGCATTGTTGAGGGCTCACTACACACTAGGGCAGGCACTGTGCAGGTGACACGTGGTGCAGCAGTGTGTCCTCCAGCCACCTCTTGCTCACGAATTCTACTTTGCTGCTAAGTGGAGGCTCAAAGAGCTTACGTGATTGTTCAGTGTTACACAGCCAAGTGACAATGCTAGAATCAGAGCTAGACCTCTGCGTCCCAGTGTCTACCTTTCCATACACTAAAGCAAGAATTCAAAGTGCTTAAAACTGCAAGGAGTGGGTGAAGCAGGCAGTGACTGTGATTTGGACATCAAACCTACACACACCTTGGTCCAAATCCCAGTTTACCACTTACCCTATAAGGAAACCTGGACAGGTTAATGACCTTCCCAGAGGCCAGTCATATAAACACTGCCAATAACTTATACCTGCTCCAGAATGTGGTTGTAAAAAATGAATGAGATAAAATTCACAATCAAGCCACTCAATGGCAGTGCCTGGCACGTTAGTGTGGACTTAGTGAACAAAAACCTATCCAGCTCTGGCCCTCCGCCCTTGGCCTGCTGGTCTCTTAATTCTTTCTGCTCTTCTTCACTTTGTTTTTTAATGTATTTAGTACAGGGTCTACAGGGCCTACAGGGCCTCACTACACAGATCTGACTCAGAGTGATCCTGTTTTCAGCTCCCAAGCACTGGGATTACAGGTGCATGCCACCACGCCCAGTCTTAACTGTTGTCTCCACACGCCCCGGGGGTGGGGCCAGCACAGCACGGCACACTGCTGATCCAAACTCCAGCCGCTGCACTCTGCCTAAGCAGGCACTTTAGTCCACTGAGCTATCTGGCTGGCCTTCTCACTTCTGTCCTTTGCTGGAATCCGTGCTTTCCCAGCCCTCAGCTTCTGCATTCCTGACCTCCTGGTAACATGCAGCTGTGCTGAGTCTTGGGTGCTGAGCACTTAGCCAAGCGCTTGCCCTACCTCTCCTCGGCCTCCGTAAGGAGGACTGCTGCGAGCTCCAGGCACTTGGCACAATGGGATCCCGCCATCAGAGGTAGGAATGGGCCACGGTTACACACGGCAGAGCTGCTGTCCCTGGGGTCTGGGTTCCTAGCCACACCACTATCTGGCCTCTCCATCTCCAAACCAACGCCTTGTGGAAAACAGCCCCCTCCAGTGCTAGGCCCACCATGGCCCCACCGAGGGTAGCTCAAGCAAGCTGCACTGTCAGCCCTCAGCCCTCCTAGGTGGGTCTCCAAGAGCGCAATGTGACAACCTCCGCACAGAAAAGCATTCCTCTGACCCAAGGACTACAGTGCAGCCCTGCCGTGCACCTTGATCTGTAACTGCAGCTTGTAACGCTGACTCCCCATTTCCCAGTTGTTCCTCTTCTAGGACTGTCACCTAACATAACAGACATGTTCCCCACTACCTTCTTGCTTGTGTCACAGCCAGGAGGGCTAGGCGGTCTCTGCTGTCACACCCGAATGGCCAGCACACAGGACAGTACCTGGAGCTCCCTGAGTAGGGGATGGATAAATTAATAGGAAGCTAGTTTTGGGGGGTTTTTGGAAAGTGCCTTGTTTTGAGGTACTTGGGATTGAACCCATAGCCTCCACACCATGCTACATCCCAGACCTTTTCTATTTTTTAATCTTGAGACAGGGTCTTACTGAATTACTAACTTGTCTAGGCTGGGTTCAGACTTGCCATTCTCTTGCCTCAGCCTCCCAGAGTGCTGGGATTACAGACATATGCTTCTTAAAATGTATGTAGGATGCTAAGCCCCGTAACTACACAAACTCTGAGTCTGAGTGTCTTGTTCATGTCTGTATCCCCAGTGCGCATACGGTGCCTGGTACATTCGAGACACTCTCAAAAGAATTCAGAGTTTCGAGGAACAAAAAAAAAAAAAAAAAAAGAATTCAGAGTAAAGCCAGGAATAATAATACACACCTGTAGGGCTGGCCAGATAGCTCAGTGGATTAAAGTGCCTGCAAGCAGGTGCAGGGGCCAGGGGTTTGACCCCCAGGCCTGCAGTGCCTGCCCTGACCAAGGGATGTGCTGCGCCTGTGACTGAGATGGGGTGTGGTGACACAAGCCAGTATCCCAGCACTTGGAAGGCTGTAAACAGGAGAATCACGAGTCTGATCTAGTAGTAAGACCCTGAACACCCTGTAGACCCTTCCCTAAAATACAGGAAAAAAAAAAAAAAAAACATACACCTGTAATCTCAGCACTCTGGGAGGCTGAGGCAGGAGGGACACAAATTTGAAACCCAGCCTGGGCCACCTAGTAATTTAGTGAGCCCGTTTTAAAATTTTACAAAAGGAAGGGCTGAGATACAACTTCTCGTGAAGGTTCTATAGTCAAGCCCCCAAAATAATAATATTTATATTTTTAAAGGGCTAAGGATGTAGCTCAGAAGTAGAGCACACCTGCATTCAATCTCTAATACTACAAAAAATAATAAAAACAAAAAGCCCTCCAGAGTCTGAGAGCCTTCCCAGCTCGCTCAACTTCCTCCAGGGCCACCCACTAGTCTCACTCCCACCTTTCCCGCTGCCCATGCTCCAGCCTCGCCATCCCAAGGCCTCTGCACCTGGTTGCTGGGCTGAAGCACTCCTCCCTCGGCTGTCCACATGGCTGCTTTCTCACAGCCTCCAGGTCTCAAAGGTCGCCCCTGAACCTCCCTGCCTGAGCGTACTATCTGCAGCCGCCCCCGGCTCCAGGCCGCTCTAGGCACACTCTTCCGCCTCCCCAGAGCACAGACCATCACCAGCCACACAGATCTGCCTCTGCTGCCCTCTGTCTCTCCCGACAGGACCTGAGCTTCCCAAGATCAGAGACCACACCACAGGTGAATCCCCACTCAGAACAGGACCTGACACACAGCGGGTGTTCACTATCTGTTCATTAAATGAATGAATGAGTGAATGATTCCAAGAGACACTTAAGAACTGGCTAATAGTACAAAGTTTGTATTTCAGTTTGTCCACTTTCATGCCCTTCTAAGTTGGCATAAAAGTTACATCAGAAACTGAAATCTTCTTCAGAATGCTGAGGCCCTGAAAAGCAATTTTGCAAAATTGAAGGCTAACGCGGGAAAAGTGATTTCAAAGCAAATACTTTCTCTTTTTTTCTTTATAATCATTGTTCACTGTGAACTATTATATCCCAGAACTTGAGAGATGGAGGGAGGAGGATCACCAGGAGTTCACAGCCAACCTGGGGTACATGGTGAGACCCTGTCTCAAAGAAATAAGCAAACAAGTGTTGGGGTTATAGCTAGTGGCACAAGCGCCTCTCTGGCAAACCCAAGGTCCTGAGTTCAATTCCAAGCACCAAACAAACAAACACTTTTTTAAAGAAGTTTAGCGTCTTACAGTATTTGACAGTATTTATAACATTTAGTATGTATAGAATCCATAAAACAATGCATGATAAAAGAAAATTAGGGACAGTGGCCTCAGCTGATGGAAAACATGATGGGGACTGTCCATGCTCTGTGCCAACGCGCACTGTGTCCCCCAACTGTCAACAGACTGGACAGTTTATGATGAGCCACTAGGCTGCATTCCTAATGCAGCATAACAAAATATGATTCTGACTCTTCCCGAGACTAAACACAACAGCAACAGCTTTGTTTAATCGGTTCAGACTCCTGATGCTGTCATTTCTGGCTGTGTGCCCTAATGCAAGTAACTTCCTTCCCTGTACCTCAGTTTGCCCAGTGAAACAGGAAGGATACAGTGTGTCCATGGGGTTTCTGTGAGGAGGCAATGAGTGGAGTCTGACACCCGCCAGGTGCTCAGGGCACGTTTGCTGCAGCCCCAGCCCTGTCCCTGCTCGCCTGGGCCCACGGGAAGACGCTCCTCATACCCTCATGAGCCGAGGCTTGGCTGGCATCTTGACTGGGTGCAGCTTCTCCTTCAGACGCCCTTCTTGTGGATTCTGAAGCTGGCTTGTCACAGATGGAGTGAGCCTGGAGGACACTGCTGGGGACAGAGATGAGAAGATAAGGAGTGGATAAAGGTACAGGCAGACCTGAGCCAGTTCCCAGAGAGCACAGGGTGAGAAGTCCTAGGCACCGCCCCTCCCACTCAACAGACAGAGGCCAAAACTCCCACACACAAGCACTCCAGGGCCTGGTAAAAGAGCCCAGGAAAGAGGAATGACCGCGTACATGGATAGGGAAGTAGAGGGCAGAGGGTCAAGTCAGACCCCTTTTTAATTTAAGCATCTGATCCTTGATTCAAGAAGTTGTTCAGGCTTCCCTTGAACTCACAGCATTCCTCTTGCCCCAGCCTCCCAAGTCCTGACCTTGCAGGATCAGGACTACAAAGTACCCTATGAAGGCTAAATCTAACGGAAACATTAGACCCCTACACCCAACTGTCCAGTCAGAGGGCTGGAAACTCACACTTTCTGTGCCCTGCCATTTGCTGTCACAACAGGGGATGGCAACTAAATCAATGAAGGATTATAAACACTTTAGCATCCTTCCCTTAACAACCACATCTACAAGAGTCCACATGCCTGAGTCAAAATCCCTGCTCGCCCAACTCCACAGCTGATAGGAAGGTTGGGCAAGGCCAGGTGAAGAATAGGACTAAGGAAGAAGGCGCAGCCTCCTCCTAGCTCTGAGACCCGCATAGGCCACAGGACCAACCTGGGCCTTCAGTTCCTCCATCTGTAAAGCAGAAATAACCATCACAACTACCTCACAAGGTTGTCCTGAAGATTAAAGAAGTTACTATGGCTTCAAGTGCTCGGAATAAATGGCGCCTGCTCCACCCCATCTGTAATGACCTCAGAATTGGGGCCACCATCCCAGGAGGCACAGCAGCCAGGCAAAACACCACTCTGCTGCAGGAGCTGTGGCTCTGCAGGGCACAGAGTGATGGCTCAGGGGCACAGGTGTGGAGAGCCCCAGCTTCCCCTGGCCTGGCTAACACCAGCACAGGATAACACTCCCTGGGGGCAGAAGCCCCCTTCTCAGTGCCACCACCAAAATCCCAGCTCCAGATGCAGCCTAGTGCACTTGGGAAAAATAATTAGTATTTAACGATAATAATAAACATTATTTCTTTAATGGATCATGCGCCTTAATCCTTACAAATTTTAGTATTGGGTTCTGAGGTGATGAAGCGAATCAATGTTGTATTAAATCTATGAGTATCTATCTGCATAGGTCTGGTATTTAATTGTATAGTTTAACAGGCGATAATTACCAGGTCAATCTTGTGTTTAAATTTTTAAAGGTACAAATGGAATTTTGGTTTAGATTTACATTGAAAGGCTTAAAAAAACTCTTATTAAATGTGTGTAAATTATAGAAATTTTTAAGAGAACATAAGATTACCCATACTTGAAACCAGGAGGATCACTTAAGTCTGATCTGTGTAGTGAGACCCTGTACTAAATACATTTTTAAAAATAAAATAAAATAAAGACTACCCATACTTGAAGTCTATTTACTCTATATATAATACTTTTTTAATTTTTAAAAATCTTTTATTTATTTTCTTGGTACAGGGTCTCACTACTGCAGCCCAGACTCAGCGATCCTCCTTTCAGCCTCCCCAGCGCTGGGATCACAGGTGTGCACCGCCATGCCCGGTTCCATGTCAGCCAGGCAGGCACTTAGATCGCCGAGTTATCTCCCAAACCCCCGATATATAATACTTATTTAAGTATTCAAAGGGTTTTGGGGGGCCTGGCACCTCAAGATTCAAGATTTGATCCTACACAGTGAAACCCTGTCTCAAAAAAAAAAAAAAAAAAGCAGAAAGTTTAACTGCTGGGTCACATGGGAATTGCGTGTGGAATTCCACAAAAAAATTCACTACCAAGTAGAACATGGTGGTACACAACAATAATCCCAGCACTCCAGGACACTAAGAAAGATCTCAAATTCAAGCTCAACCAGGGCACTTTACTGTCTCATCAAGACTTTCACAGAACAAAAAATACAGATAGGACTATATCTCAGCGCAAAGGCCTTAGTTTCAATCCCTAGTACTACAAGTACTACAAGGGAAAAAAAGGAAAAAGAAAAGAATTCATGTGAGTAATGTGAGTAATTATACACACGAGGTATAGTATTGTGATGTTTATTTCAGGATACTAAACGAATATTTCAAAATATGTTATTAAAAGGAGCTGGGGGGCCCAGCCCTAGCTCAGTTCTTTAAGTGGCTGCTTCCACAATGCTGGCAGCCTCAGTTTGCTGTAGTTCGATCCCCACAACACTCCAGCCATGCCAAAGTGCCCTGAAGGCATTCAAGGAGCAAAAAATAAATAAATAAATAAAAGGAGCTGGGCTGGGTGTGATGACACAGACCTGTAATCTCAACACTAAGGGGTTAGGCAGGAGGATCACTGTGAATTTAAGGCCAGCCTAGGCTAAAAAGCAAGTTCAAGGCCAGCCTGAACTGCATAGTAAAACTTCTCTCAAAACAACCACAAAAGAAGTGTGTTAGGTCCAATATGGCTGAGCCACAATGCTTTATGTGGATGTTCCCATTTAATTCTCAGAACAATCCATTTGGTGCCCCTACTTCACAAATAAGAAGCCCAAAGCTCAGAGAGATTGATAACTTTCCCAATGGAATCAATGGCAAAGCCAATATTTAAACTCATGTCTACCTGAGCCAAGGAATCAGAAGTTTGCTGGAAAGCAAGACAGTAGTGCAGCAGAGCTGACCCTGTTCACTAAGCCATTTTTTTTCCCTTCTTGAAATATAGGTAGAGTACATTTCCCACCATCCCTTGCGGTCAGGGGTGGTTCCACAACTTGCATTATAGCCCTTGCAACGTATGTAGAAATGGTATTTCAAGGGTGGCCCCCCCAAAAGAACTGACTACCAAATCACCTGTGTTGTTTCCTTTCCTCTCTGCCCTCTGGACACCAATGAATTCAGGAAAGTTCAAAACTTCACCAAACATTAGTGCCAACCCAAGATGACAGGAGCCTGGGCCGCTGAGTAATGATCTGGAACAGATCACAGCAGTATCTTGGTTGGCAGGGCACTTTCCACTACTTAAACAGGAAAGTTCAAAAAAATCTGCTCAGTGTTTGCAACTTTGCTCAGTATTCAAATTGAAAACTCTGACTTGGAAAAAACATATAGAGCATAGATTGTGTCATGGTGACATCTTTCCGCAAGCACAAAGGGGCAACACTTACAGCCTAAGTGCTGCGATTCCCCAGACAACACGCAGTGTTTGTGTTAGTGTATCTAAAGTCAGCACTGTATGGTGGGTTTGGTGGTTTGTTTTTTTTGTTGTTGTTGTTTTTTTTTGCACTTTAATAGTATAAAATATCATAACCACGGGGCTCCAAAGCAAGGTGGTGATACAGCTATAAAGCTAAAAAGAAAACTGTGAGAACCACCACACAGTTAAAGAAAGAAATCATTGCAAACTTCCAGGAACATGGTGGAGTGATAAAAGGCACAGAAACAGCCTCTCCAAGATTTGGTGTCCAGGTGCTGGGATATATCAATGTGAGGAATCGAAGGAGGAAAGTGGGTGCTCAGGAGCCAGCAAAGATCTGAAGTGAAGCCTATAGAGAAAAGGAAGGGACCTCAATGCAGAAGGAGGTGGCAAGTGGCACTTCTCGCTGATCACTGGCTCACTGCATGGTAGGAGTAGCTTGAACCTGCAGGCACCCAGTGACTACTAGTGACACCAGATGCCACCACAGAGAGATGAACCAGGGTGACACAGCAGAGGACCTGGGCTACTACGTGGCTGGCAAATTATTCAGGTACGGACATTCTCACAGAAGAGGTGATTAACTGGTAGCCATCTTAGAAAGAGTTAACTAAGCTCCGAACTCAGGGCAGCTGTGGGCTGGCTCCACCTAGGGGCTCCCAGGGCCAAGGTGAGGCGGAGCCAAGTTCAGCTGGGCAGGAGGTCAAGGGACTGAGTGCAAGCTCTAGGGAACCAGCTCAAGCTGGCAGGGGTCAAAAGGAATACTGCAGGCTGAACAACTCGGACTCTAGCCTGCCAGCCAGAAACTAGCCGGCACTTCAGTGGAACCAAAGGCATAGGCTTGCTAGGATCATCCACTATCGTGCCAAAAAGCTCTGCTGGTTTGCTGGGATGAATCAACATGAACCTAGGCTCTGTCTGACCACTCTTTCTACCAGGGACAACAGAGTCACACCCTGAAGCGAACATTTTTTTTCTTCATTGATTGCTTATTCCAGTTTTTATTAGTGTGAACACTGCTTCTAGTTCTTTGTTGCTGTTGTTCTGTTCTTGTTTTTATTTCTTACTTATCTCTTTCCCTCCTATCTTCTCTACCAGTTTCTCAAAGTCTGAGTAATCTTTCTTTGCCCTCAAGCCTTGCTTCTAATCTCTTCCTTTTCTTCTATTTCTCTATTTTTTTCCCCTAACTCTCCTTTTAAATTTTCTCCCTTGAGAGTAAAATCACCATGTTCAGGCCATATTTATTGCATACAATTTTCTGGTTGCTTTTAACCACAAATATAGTTCATACAATTAAAGTTGCCAAATTAATAGCTACAACAGTTTGTCATTTTCTAAGGTGTGATTGATACTATTGTTATTGCTGATTTTACTACTTTTACCAGGGTGTCATAATTGGGTGTTGTTTTTTGTTTTTGTTTTTGTTTTGTCATTTTGAGACGGCCTCATTATGCAGTTCACAGTAGCCTTGAGCTCACTTTGTAGCCCAGGCTGTTATCTAACTCACAACAATCCTCCTGCCTCAGCCTCCCAAGTGCTGGGATTACAGGTATGCACCACTATGCCTGGCTCATAGTTGCTCAAACCAGTTGTTCTGCCTGCTGTGCCAAGACTGAGATTGTCTAAAGGCATAAACAATACTATAAGCCAGTGTCAAACAATAAGGGAGTAGGCCAAGTAGACAGTGACATCTCATCTCCCATAAAGTGAAGAGACAGGATCCTGCAACAGACTCAAATCCAAAAGGTAGATGTCACCTAGAAGACATCTCTGAGAAGCACTCATTTCCCAAGAGTTCTAAATACTAGCAATAAAGCTTCCCATCATAGGTATTTTATAAACATCAACCCAGGAATTCAACTTTAAAAAAATACACCAAAAAAAAAAAAAAAAAAAAAAAAAAAAACCCCAAACAAAAAAAAAAAAAAAAAAAAAAAAAAAAGAAAAGGCACTTAAGTAAGACGTAATCCTAGACTCCCACCTCACCAAAGGCAAACTCAAGGGACAATAAGGTGGAACAATTCAAATGCCACCCACCTGCACTCTGAAGTGGTAACAGTGGAAGTAACAAAGCAGATGAAGGAGACTCTAGAAAAAAGCAAATCAGAAATAATCTCTCAGATATGGTGACCATAAGAAAAGACACAGCTAGTGAGTCTAAAGCAGATATAAATTTTTAAAAATAGAGGAGTTTAGGGAAAAGATATAAACTGTGAACATCCTATATAGGAAAGAAATGGAATCTATGAAAGATATTCAAACAAATATTCAGAAAATTAAAATGCCACTGAAAGTATACACAGCAGAGTGAGCCAGTGTGAGACCAGAACATCAGATGTAGAAGACAGACCTGTAGGGGCCGGAGAGCTAGCTCAGTGGATTAAAGCACCTGCTTAGGCAGATAGGGCTCGAATCCCGGGGTGCCAGGCTGGCCTCATCCCTGGGACACACTGAGACAGCAACTGAGACTGGGTGGTGTGGTTCACACCTGTAATCCTAGGGCTCGGGAGGCAAAAATAGGAGGATCACTATGAGTCTAATCTGTGTAGTGAGACCCTGTAGACCCTGTACTAAATAAAAATAAAAATAAAAAAGACAAGATTGTAGTTAGTGATCATGAAGAGAAAAATGTCCCCAAAGTAGCAAGTAGCAAATAGCACGTAGCAAGTAGCAAGTAGCAAGCAGCAAAATCATCCAAAGGCTCTTATGTGGGGCTGGTGAGATGGCTCAGTGGTCTAAAGCACCTACTTAGAACAAGCTTAGCAAAGCACAGGGACCGCGGTTCAATCCCCCAGCACCACATGCCAGCCAGCCCCGCCCCCTGGTGGGCTGAGCTGGCCACACACACACACACATAAATAAATAAATAAATTTTTAAAAAATTTCAAAGGCTCTTATGTGATGCAAAGAAGAACAACATAATATTGACTAAGGCAAAGCATGGTGATGCACACTTGTAATCACAGCACTTGGTATGCTGAGGCAAGACGATCGCTGGGATTTCAACACCAGAAAAGGGTACATAGTGAGTTCAAGGACAGTATGAACTACACAGTAATACCCTGTATCAAAACAACAATAAAAAATAATTGATGGGGCTGGTGAGATGGCTCAGTGGTCTAAAGCACCTACTTAGAACAAGCTTTAGCAAAGCACAGGGACCATGGTTCAATCCCCCAGCACCACATGCCAGCCAGCCCACCCCCTGGTGGGCTGAGCTGCCCCCCCCCACACAAATAAATAAATAAATAAAACAATTGATCAGAGTCAGTGAAAAAGTACAAAATAGTAAAAAACCTGACATTAAAAATACTGTTCATAGAAATAATGGCAGAGCAGTACAGGGTTTCAGGCTAAATCCTGAGTGGATTTGACTGACCTTGGCAGATACAAAAGTTATATTTCTTGTTATATAGGTTTTGCTTTATCTTGGTCTTAACCACCCAGCAGAAAAGTATAAAAACAAGGTATATATGGGGGCTAGGGAGGTGGCTCAGTAGAATAAGCACTTGCCTAGAAAGCACAAGGGCCTGAGTTCAACCCCTGGTTCCGCAAAAAAAAAAAAAAAAAAAGTGAGGTATATAAAGTAAAGCCACATTAATATGCTGAGCTATAAAAGGCTCAAGTCAACAACTTCTGACATTGCCAGTCCTATAGATAACCCGCTACTTTTATGGACTACTGAACTATATTGGATTATTTTGCTGAATTCACGCACCTACAATATTTAAATGGCAATGTAATACCCATCTTTGACAAAACTAAACAAAAAAGTGGTTATAAATGAAGCACCATTCTTTATTTTATATACAAAATACGACAGATATACAGCTACTTTCTTTGAGTTCAATGAGAAGAAAGATTTGTACTAATAGTGTTTGGCAGGATATCATGTCTGCATCTTGTACTATGAATAACTACTATGAAGACAACAATATGCAATGTATTAATTATTGTAACTGTCCTACTAACTTGTTTTTTTTAATTTTATTTATTTGTGTGTGTGTGTGTGTGTGTGGCCAGCTCAGCCCACCAGGGGGCGGGGCTGGCTGGCATGTGGTGCTGGGGGATTGAACCGCGGTCCCTGTGCTTTGCTAAGCTTGTTCTTTTTTTTTAAATATTTATTTATTTTTATTACATTTATTTATTGTGTCTGTGTGTGTGTGGCCAGCTCAGCCCACCAGGGGGCGGGGCTGGCTGGCATGTGGTGCTGGGGGATCGAACCGAGGTCCCTGGGCTTTGCCAAGCTTGTTTCAAGTAGGTGCTTTAGACCACTGAGCCATCTCTCCAGCCCCTAAGCTTGTTCTAAGTAGGTGCTTTAGACCACTGAGCCATCTCACCAGGCCCCCTACTAATCTGTTTTGAAACTGTCTCATTGCTATTTGTTTCTCAATAACATTAATTTTTTTTTAAAAAAGAAACAATGGCAGAAAATTTCCCAAGCAGAGTAAAACAATTTGACATACAAATAAGTGAAACATATAGAAATCCAATTATTGAAACTGTCTCATCGCTATTTGTCTCTCAATAAGATTATGGGGAAAAAAAAAGAATATGCAATAGACTAAAGCAAAGAGCAAAACTGCACAGGAAGCATATTGGTTATTAATTTAAGCTGGACAGAGGAAACACATTTTAAATCCTATCATGTCTATATCTTTGCAAAGTGCAGTTCTCTGCCTGTAATATGTCATTTTTATGCTTTTTATTTCACCTGTACTGTTTGTCAATAGAAGTTTGTCTCAGCTTAGCTATCATTTCTTCTAGATAGATTCCTTTAATATCCCAAAACAGGTGAAGTGACCTCAAATAATTGAGTTTCTCTCACTTGTACTTATTTCTTAGCAAACTATTATGGTTTTAATGTACAGAAATTTATACTTCTGTCAAGACTGGGGGAGTTTTTAAGACAAAGAAGATTATGCATACTGATTATGTAGCACAGACCCAGTCCACATAGATACTAAATAAATAATTATTGAATGAAATAAAAAAAAAGGAATCCAATTAGCCATCACCAAAAACCTATCCCAATGCATATAATAGTCAAGTTTCCATAAGAACAGGATATTAAAAGCTTTTAGAAAGAAAAAAAGCAAATCACCTATAAAAGAAAGCCATCAGAACCCCAGCAGGCTTCTCAGTACAAATCTTCAAGTCAAGGAGAGCTTGGATTAATGTATTTCAAGCCCTAAAAGAAAGTGACTTCTAACCCAGACTGATGAATTCCACAAAACTATCTTTTAAAATTATCAGAGAAATAAAATTATTTCCATGACAAAGAAGAAATTCTTTCATGAAATTTATAACCACCAAACTAATACTTTAAAATGTTCTGAAGGATATTCAAGAAAGATTATGAGAACTACAACACCAGAAACCCCAACAGAATGAATCTTAGAACATACAGGATGCAATTAAAACAGTGCTACAAAAGAAATTTTTAAAAAAAAAATTTTTTTTTAACATTTATTTATTTAGTGTGGGGGGGGGGAGCTCAGCCCAGCAGGGGGCGCGGCTGGCTGGCATGTGGTGCTGGGGGATCTAACCACGGTCCCTGGGCTTTTCCAAGCTTGTTCCAAATAGGTGCTTTAGACCACTGAGCCATCTCTCCAGCCCCTACAAAAGAAATTTATAGTGGAGAATTCTCATCTCCGAAAAAGAGGGCTGGCCAGACAGCTCAGGAATGAAAGCATCTGCTTAGGCAGGTGCAGGGCTCAATCTTCAACATGCCATGCTAGCCCCATCCCCTAGGCACACTAAGATGGTGACTGAGACTGGGCATGGTGGCATGCGCCTGTAATCCCAGTGCAGTGCTTGGGAGGCTGAAAACAGGAGGATCACTATGAGTCCAATCTGTGTAGTGAGACTCTGTACACCCTGTACTAAATTAAAAACAAACAAACAAACAAACAAAAAAAATGTGAGGTTAAATAAACAACCTAATGCAAAACATTAAGCTTCCAAAGAAGAACAGGTCAAGCATAAAGCTTTTGCAAGGGAGGAAATTATAAAGAGAACAGCAGAAATTAATATAATTGAGCCTGCAAAAAAACAAAGATGAATTCAAGAGTTGGTTCTTTGAAAGATAAAATAAAACTGATAAACTCTTAGCAAATCTTATTATAAAATAATAGACTCAAATCCATGCAACTGGGCCGGGGAGATGGCTCAGTGGAATAAGCGCTTCACTGGCAAACACAAGGGCCTGAGTTCAATCCCTGGTTCGGCAAAAAAAAAAAAAAAAATCCATGCAACTAGGAATAAAAAAAGGTAAAATTACAATAGATCTTCATCAATACCTACTTGTTCTAATGGGATGAAAATACAGAAGAAATGGACAGATACATATTAATTCACAAAGCAGGATCAAAAGGGCCCGCCAGATAATTCAGTGGATTAAAGTGCCTGCTTAGGCAAACACAAGACCAGGGTTCAATTCCAGCATGCTGTGCTGGCCCCGCCCCCATAGCGCCCTGAGACAGCAATTGAGACTGGGTGTAGCATGATGGTGCAGGCCTGTAATCCCAGCACTTGGGAGGCTGAAAACAGGAGGATCATTACAAGTCCGAGTTGTATAGTGAGACCGTATAGACTCTGTATTAAATACATTTTTAAAATGCTGAATCATGGGGCTGGTGAGATGGCTCAGCGGTCTAAAGCACCTACTTAGAACAAGCTTAGCAAAGCATAGGGACCGCAGTTCAATCCCCCAGCACCACATGCCAGCCAGCCACGTCCCTTGGTGGGCTGAGCTGGCCACACACACACACACATGCACACACACACACAAATAAATAAAATTTTAAAAAAATAAAAATAAAAATGCTGAATCATGAAGATACAAAAATTCTAAATAAACAACATCAATCAATGAAATGGAAGATGTAATTAAACACCTACCAACAAAGAAATGCCTAGCCCAATGGATTCACTTATGAATTCTACAAGGTATTTGTTATCATTCATTAGATTGATGAATGAGACCATCTAATAATAATGAGACTAATGCCAGTACTTCTCAAACTTTCTCATTAAAGGGAGTTTGATGAAAAGGGAACCAATACTCTCAAACTCATTCCTGGAAGCAAGCATTACCATGATAGCAAAATCAGAGAAAAATGCAACCAAAAAAGAAAACTACAGGCCAATCTCCCTAATGAACATAGACACAAAATATTTAATAAGACACTGGCAAACAGAAGGCAGCAAATCATCAAGTAGATCATATGCCATGACCAAGTAGGATGCACCCTAGGGGTGAAGGGATAGTTCAACACGTACAAATCAATAAATGTAATATACCATATCAACAGAGCCAAAGACAAAAATCACATGATCATCTCAGATACAGAAAAAGCATTTGACAAAGTCCACTGTTCATTCATGATTTAAAAATAAAAATAACCTCCAGAGAATTGAAATAGATGGTCTTGTCTCAATCTGATAAAAACCATCTATGACTAACCTATAGTCAACATCAGATTAGAGGGACAAAAACTGAAAGCTTCCTCTCTAAAATCAGGAACAAGACAAGGATGTCCCCTATCACCAGTCTTACTCAGTATAGTTCTAGAAACATAGAGCATTTAGAGAAGAGAAAGAAATAAAAAGGATAAAGATAGGAAGGAGAAAGTTAAATTATCATTATTTTCAGGTGATATAATCCGCTATACAGAAGACCCCAAAAATTCTACCCAAAAGACTTCTAAATTTAATAACCAAGTTCAGTAACACAGCTGGATACAAAGTCAACATTCAAACATCAATATCACACCTGTACAGAAATTACTCCCTGAGAGAGAAATTAGCTATTCTTCTCAATATCTTCCCAAAAGAATTAAAAGCATCACACCACAGTGCTACATATACACGCATGTTTACAGCAGCATAGTTTGTAATAGCTAAATCTTGGAAACAGCCCAAATGCCCATCAACCAATGAATGCACAAGGAAAATGTGGGCTGGATTTTCTTTTATGTAATGGCGTACTACTGTGCTATAAAGAAGGATAGGCTTGGGCCTGGGAGATAGCTTGGCAGTCTCTGTGCCTGCCTGGCAAGTACAAGGACCTGGGTTCAATCCCCATTACTGCATACTGGGCCAATCCTGCACCAAACCAACCACAGAAACCGGGAGTGGTGGTGCAAGCCTGTAATCCCAGCACTGGGGAGACTGAGACAGGAGGATCAATACAAGTCTGAGCTGTATATCAAGACCCTATACCAAACAAATAAATGATTTTAAAAAGAATAGGGAGCTGGGGAGATAGCTAGGTAGAATAAGTGCTTGCCTGGCAAGCACAATGGCCTGAGTTCAATCCTTGGTTCCGCCAAAAATGGGTTTGAGACATTTCTGGGGTAAATGGATGCACCTTAACAACATACTCTTAAGTGAAATAAATCAGACACACATGTTTAAATACCACATTGTTCATCTAATGTGATAAACCATACTGGGAAATGGGAAGAAAATGTTCAAATTAGAAGGAAAACCAAGGAGAGGGGGATAGGAAAGAAGGGACAAATAAAAAAGAGAACAGGAGTAAAAAATGGAAAAAAAGCTTTTGTAAATAAGGAGCATGTCTCAGTTACTTTTAATTCGTTGCTGGGAGTTGCTGGGTCAAAATACCCGACACCCAAAACCTCAGTTGTGGAGATTTCAGCCTATACCAGGCTGGTCCCAGGCAGAGCCCCACTCGGCAGAAAGCAGCAGTCCATGGCAGCAGAAAACAGCAAAGAGCAAAGGGAAGGGCAGCAGCTGGGGCTTCTAGCAAGCTTCTCTCTCCTGCTTATATTGTAAACAAGCTACCCTGGGGCTTGGGTGTAGAACTCACACAATATCCATGCCCTCCTCTTGGACAGGATGAGGATGTTTACAAACTAAGAACCCTGGCTCTGGGCTGAGTCACTTAATTAACCTTCTAAACTTCTCAAGTTAACACAATGTGTCAGCCAATACATAGGGGAAGAGGGGTTGAAAGGAGGGGAGCAGAATGGAAAAAAGAAGCAACAATATAGTACCAAAGTTAAAAACACACAGAAATTATTACAAATTTGTTAAGGTCCTGGAAAAATGAATTTATAAGTATAATTTCAGAGCCTCAAACCAATTTGGTTTTCCTTTACTTATAGGAAAAATATACTTAGTTCGCAAACTTTTTGTTGTTCAAACACGAATTTGGAACAAACTGAGTTCAACAACCAAGGTATCATTGTATTCTCCCCCTTTACATCTACACCTACTTTTAATTTCTTATTTTGAAACAGTCTCTAAATTGCCCAGGCTTGACTTGAACTTGCAAATCTCCTGCCTCAGCCTCCCAGTGTGCTGAGCTTCCATGCACAAGCACCATTCCTGACCACAAGTGCATTTTGACATTAATGAGAAATAAACTTCAACATTATTACTTGAAATCTGGAAGTTATCTGCTACATTAGTTTGCCTACCTTAATGTGAACAGTGTCTTCCTGCCCTGGAGAACGACTCTATCTTGTCCCTAAGCCCCATTCCAGTGCCCAGTGCCTCTGCCCACCTGTACTGCCTCCAGCTGAAGTCTTCATTTTGCTTTTGCTATGGCTGCTGGTTTGCTGGAGTGGAGGCAGAGTAGAAGGCTTGGTTTCATGTTTGGACCACTGCCAGGGAACATAATCCAATGAGAAATAACACAAATCAGTCACACAGCATAGCCTGTTTGAACCCCTGCTCTGCACTCTGCAGTTATTTGTGACCTTAGGCAAGTAACTTTAGCTTTCAGAGCCTCAGTATTCTCATCTGTAAAGTGGATATAATAACAAACTTAAATCTACAGGTTAATAAAGAAATCCAAGGCAGCTGGGTCTATATCTCAGTGGCAGAACACTTGCTGAGCACGCCCCAGGTTCTGAGTTCAATCCCTAGTACAGGTTTGTTTTATTTTGTTTGGTATGGTTTTGTTTAATTCAAGATATATCTGTGAAGCATGTGATAAATTTTAATAAGCATGCATAAATGCTAGCAGTCACTCCTGTCCCCTGCCTTACCAGGCATTGAACCCAGGGCACTGCTCTGACCTACACGCCCCACACACATCAGCTCTTTTTCTTATGTTGAGACAGCATCCTGATAAATTTTCCATGCTGACCTTGAACTTCCAAGCCTTCTACCTCAGCCTCCAGAGTACCTGAGATTACAGATCTGTCCCATTGCCTGTAAGGGGCTAACACTCAGGAACCACCCTGACTAGCAAAGAGAAAGCAATAAGCGAGCGGCACAATAGGCAGTAAGGGGAGAGAAACAAGGCTCAGAGGCTTGCTGTGGGTCCCCCAGCAAGTGTGTGCCACATATAGAGCTGGAGTTCAGGTCTCCATTTTATCATGAGAAAGTCCCCTTCATGGGAGTTGAAGGCAGGGGCACTTCAGACTCAGCAAACCCCCATCCTTAGCTATCCCAAGCCTCCCCGACTCACCAGAAACTGGGACTTCTGAGCTGTGGAGTGAGTGCCAAAGTGGCTGGGTCTGGAAAGAGTTGAAGTGAAAAACTTCCATCATCTTCGGCTCAAGGAACTGCAAGCAGCAAACTTGGAGCACATGGAGTCTCAAACCCAAAACCAAAGTTTCGGAGATGTGCCCGAGCGGAAGCGGAGCAAGGAAAGCGAGCGTGAGTGATCTAGCAAGGGAGGCGCGGGTGGGGGAGGGCGCGCAACCACCGCAAGGCTGGCAGAAGGGGCACCCACGTGCATTCCTCTACCCGCTGATGCCCCTGCTTACTTCGGAAAGACATGAGCCATTGGGGAAACTAGAACAGCCTTGAGTCTGCGGTGCTCTGACCTTCGGGGATGCCTGTTCACTTCTCCAAACTCCTTGTCCCAGCGTGGATCGTGGATCAGTAATTTAAGCCCCTCAAATTTAACAAGCAAGGCAATTTTACTGGTGTCTTGGTCTCCAAGGAAACGAAGACCGACTACGGAGCGTCAGGAAGGACTAACCTCACTAAAGCGCTACACTCTTCACTTCTTAGTTTGGTTTCATATACCCGTTTGCCCACGCCCATATTCGTAAGTAATATTTTTTCGCCCTCTACAAACTTCCACTCCTTCCTTCCTTGTCCTGGCTAATTACGTTGCTCTCTATTTCAGTGAAGAAGTCATGAAGATTAATTAATACAAGTTACCAACCCCTCATTTACCGCAGTACTTGCCTCCTTTGTATAAATGGCCTTTTTTTATACTGGCCGTTTATAAGTACTGGCCCAGAAGCTCTCCCCTTTTTCTCTCACCTCATTTTTCCTCCTCTCCTTTTTGTCATCCCCATCATAGGTATACCAGCATGTTTTCATTTCTTTTATAAAAAAAAAAAAAAAGCAGCCCTTCTCCCACTGCCCTCCAATTTGAGTCACTTCACAGCAAACTCCCAGAGAAGTGTTTCCCTTTCCTCTCGGCAAACTTCTACCTGTCCACTGAAGCTGCCCTTGTCAACCTCATGCAGCATTTCCACATGACAGGTTACTCCTTCCTTTGGGACATTTTTTTTCTCTTTTCTTTTAGAGGTAGGAATGGAACTCAGAACCATGTGCTTGCCAGGCAGGTGTACCACTGAGCTGCATCCTCTGCTCTGGGACATTTTCTTAATTTGGTGTCCAGGAAACCACTGTCTTGAGTGTCCTCGGCAGTGGCTTGTTCCACTTCTCCCTTGACAGCTGGAGTGCTCCAAGAAGCAGTCCTAGCCCCTGCCTTTATATTTTCCCCTGTCTGCTCCCTGGCCCCCACTCATGATTTTTGCTGACTCACCTATAGCTTTGGATGCCAGGCTTATCCAGGTGCCCTCCTGACTCTTCTCCAGCCTAGACCTCTCCCCTGAATTGCAGCCACCTCAGTCGCAGCCCTAACCTGAACTCTTTCCCCAGGAACCATTTCCCCATGGCAGCTCTCTTCTTAGAGTCACCCTCAACCCATCCTTCATCCCACACCAAATCTATCAGGAGACCCTGTCTGGTATTGGACCACTTACCACCACCACCATGCACCTGCATGCATGCACGCGCGCGCGCACACACACACACACACACACACACACACCCCTTTGCACTTGAACCTAGACAACAGTAACATTTCCCACCCTTGCCATCTTTCAGTTCTCTTCCCACACACCATATGTACTAATAGAGCAGATAAGAGCATAGGCTTTGATGGGGCATTCCCTCTACTTGGGAAGATACAAATATTTTTTTTTCTATATTCAGGACAGGATGTACAGGGTCTCACTGCGTAGATCATACTCGTAGTGATCCTCTTGTTTCCAGTCTCCCTAGCGCTGGGATTACGGGCCTGCGCCACCACACCCATTCTCAATTGCTGTCTCTGCGCCGCCCCCCCCCCTCCCCGCACGGGGATGCAGCTGGCACAACATGCCAGGTATCGAGCCTGGCTGCTGCTTTCTGCCTAAGCAGGTGCTTCAGTGCCCTGAACTATCAGGCCGGCCCCAATACAAATAATTTGAGCTCACTTAAAATTCTGTAGTGGAATAGCACTGTAGCGTAAGGCGACAGCAGAACTCCCAGTCTCTTCCATCGCTTAAAAATCATGCAATTCTTTTTTGTTTGTTTAGGTTTTATTCACTTTATCTCTTATATAAAAACCCTATTCTGTAGCTACTTGTAATGCCTTCTAGCTCAAGGCAAAAGCCCTGGGTTTAAAAAAAGAAAAAAGGAAGTAGCAACACGGGGCCACCCGAGAGGTTGCCAGTTTAGTAGCCTTTGCTCCCACTTATCTCAGCTGCTGCACCCTGACCTCCACGGGAAAAGCAGAGAGTTTAACTTGGGTTTTTACAAGACAGTCAGTGGATTCCCAGTAGGAAAACTCAGTAAACACAGACTCTTTCCAGAGGTCAGGTTCAGGTAGCTTATAGGCATCAAAGGTGACCTTGGTAACTGCAGGATGTGGTGGCACATGCCTATAATCCCAGCACTGGGAGGCTGAGGCAGGATTGCTTCAAGTGTGCGGCCAGCCTGAGCTACAAAGTGAGTTTTAGGCAAGCCTGAGCTGTATAGTGACAAACAGGCAAAAGAAAAAAAGAAAGAAAAGGACCTCGGCCAAGTGGCCCACAATGGAGTGCAGCCCCTGGAAGGCGCATAGCAGTCACCAGGGGCAGCCAGCATCAGCAGGTTCTTGGGCACAGGGGCTGAGATGTCAGTACCTGGGAGGGCAGGGATAAAGCACGGCAACACAGGGCTACACAGGCATGTCACCTTGCAAGGTCAGTGTGGAGCTTGCTGGCCTTGTTCACTCAGCGGCTCTCCATGTGGGAATGAAAGGTAGCCACTGCCAGCCGAGTTCTTCATCGTCCCCATGAGGAGAGGAGACTTTTCCAGTGGCACTACACACTGCAGTAAACAGAAGACGCTGCCATGGGAAAAGCAATAGCAAGGCCATCTCAAAATAAAATAATTTTAAAAGGGCCAAGGATGTAGCTCAAGGCAAAGGCCCTGGGTCTAAAAAAAGAAAAAGGAAAAAAAAAAGGCAGTAGCAAGATGGGGCTGACCTGGGAGGCTGCCTGCTTAATAGCCTTTCCTCCTGTTCATCCTAGCTGGTGTACCCTGACCTTGTCCAAACATGGGGACCCGGCTGCAGGCACAGTTGACCTGAGCTGGGACTGGTGCACCGTTCTAGGGGTTCCATCACAGGCACATGATGCAAGTCTAGCAAGGAGCCAGGGTGAGAAGTCCACCAGACTTGGGCATAGATTTTTTTTTTTTTTTTTGCAGAACCAGGGATTGAACTGAGACCCTTGCACTTGCTAGGGAAGTGCTTATTCCACTGAGCCATCTCCCCAGCCCATAAGCATTTTTTATTTATTTATTTATTTATTTGTGTGTGTGTGTGTGTGTGTGTGTGGCCAGCTCAGCCCACCAGGGGGTGGGGCTGGCTGGCAGGTGGTACTGGGGGATTGAACCGTGGTCCCTATGCTTTGCTAAGCTTGTTCTAATCAGGTGCTTTAGACCACTGAGCCATCTCACCAGCCCAAGCATTTTTTTTTTTTTTGGTGGTACCAGGGATTGAACTCAGGACCCTACACTTGCCAGGCAGGCGCTTATTCTACTGAGCTATCTCCCCAGCCCTAGGCATAGATTTTAAATCCTTTTTTAAAGATACCGCAGAGAGTTTAATTCCTGGTACCCACCCCCTCTAAAAAAAAAGACTGCAGACAACAATTCATCCACTAGTAGACATTCTCATGTCTGTGTGGGACTCCTGGAATTGTGGGAATATGAAGGGAGCATATGGGGAAACCTGCTTCCTGACAGTAGCATTGAGCTACACTATTGTCCAACCTTGTCACCTATCCAGAAATTACTCAAGACTGAATGACAAGGGGCTGGTGAGATAGCTCAGTGTTTTAAAGCGCCTGCTTGGGGCTGGTGAGATGGCTCAGTGGTCTAAAGCACCTACTTAGAATCAAGCTTAGCAAAGCACAGGGACCACAGTTCAATCCCCCAGCACCACATGCCAGCCAGCCCTGCCCCCTGGTGGGCTGAGCTGGCCACACACACACACACACACAAATAAATACATAAATAAATATTTAAATATTTTTTAAAAATACAGTCAATGTTTAAAAAATAAATAAATACATAAATAAATAAAGCGCCTGCTTAGGCAAGCTTAGGAGGCACAGGGGACCGCAGTTCAATCTCCAGCACCACATGCTGCACCAGCCGTACCCTCAGGGTGGGCTGAGCTGGCCCAAAAAGGAAAAAATAAAGAAAAAGATTGAATGACAAGGGGCCTTGTGAAAACAGCATCACACATTCAGCATCACGTTTTCCTTGTCATATTCCACAAAAATTATCCCATCTATTTGTATTTCCTTTTTACTAAAGAATTCTTTGCAATACAATTCACTTACAGTTTTAGTCTCTAAGTTGGCTGATTGGTCATCAACTTGAAGGTAAGAAATAATTTCTTTCTTACATAATACTTCATTCCTAAAGCTTGAGTTATAGAAACAATAGTTACTCAGCATGTTCTTTGTTATACAGTTATCTCCTGAGTTGCCAAAAACATTTTTCAGCCAAAATTTGAATTTTTCTATTTATTTTATAATTTTTTTTCTTACTCTTAATATTTGTTTAATGATTTACTATAAAACAACTGGGCCAGGGATATAGCTCAGTGGTGTAAGTGCCTGCTTGGCAAGCACAAGGTCCTGAGTTCAATCCCTGGTAACACACACACACACACACACACACACACACACACGCACACTATAAAACTTACAGATTGTTTTGTGGGGGGTTTTTGTGGGTTTTTTTTTTCAGAACCGGAGATTGAACTCAGGTCCCGGCCTCTTACAGATTATTTTGAGGCAGAACAAAAGCCTGAATTCTCTTCAGAAACTAGACTGAAATTCTTTTTTTTTTTTTGAACTGAGGATTGAACTCAGGACCTTGCACTTGCCAGAGAAACACTTATTCCACTGAGCCATCTCCCCGGCCCTGAAATTCATTATTAAAGTGATTTTTGGAAGTCTTTTGGTGATTTACTTATGCAAAACTTTTTTATGTACTTAGTAGAAGGTCTACAGGATCTCACTACACAGATTGGACTCAGGTGATCCTCTTGTTTTCAGCCTCCCAAGTGCTGGGATTACAGGAATGCACCACCACACCCAGTCTACTTATGCAAAACTTTAAAAATTTGTTTATGTGACTAAGTTATGACACCAACTAATAAAAGGATTAAACTATCTTAAAGGATAAAAATAAATTAATTAATAATCACCTTACTGAGCAGCTATTTTGAGTTTTCTGGTACTTGCAAGCCAAAACACCCCACTGGAGTCTACATATGGAGGAAAAACAACACAAAGAAACCTGGGTCTGATACTCTTGCACGACATTTCTCTCCGTGCCAGGCTGACACACATCAGTGAGAAATAAACT